TGTCCTTGAATTCTCCCTTAGAGATTTGTTTTTTTGGCTTAAACCTTTTCCTCCCCTGGCACTGGCTTGAAAAGTTAATCCCCAGAAAGGGGAACACTTTGGAATCATAAACCCATTCACAATTTGGAAGGATCAGAGAATTTTCTCTTGAGAAGAGCAGGAAGTAGGGTGGCTGAGAGTTCTGGGTGGCAGTGTGGGAAAAGGGACACTGAAGAAGAAGGAGAGAGAAAGCAGTGAAGGCAGGTTATATGCTTCTGCAATAAGTGACTGAGCAAACCTCCCAAACTCTCCCCACACAGCTTCACAATCCTGAGAAGGGTGGTGGGAGGGGGAGAAGACGGGAGGGAGAGCAAGTCCTGCCCCCGCCAGCTCAGTGCTTTGGCACCTCTCGCCCGGCCACCTGCCTGCCTGCCTAATGACCCCTCAGAGGACAGGGGAGGCAGCAGTGCCCTTGGTGGTCCTGGTCCTGCAGGGAGGGCAGCATTGCATCCACCACCTCGGGACGTCCCAGGGAAAGGACATGGGGGCGGAGGGCAGCTGAGGCAGAAGTTCACCAGGCGCTGGCTCTCAGCCTGGCCCGTAGCCACAGCACCAAGGGCTTCACTCAGCTTCAGCCAACGGCAGGCACCCTGCTCCACATCCAAGTCTTTATCTTGCAGTGTCCACCTCCCACCCCCCGTCCTCCCTGTGGTCTGCCCTGATAGCTCCTTTGACTCTACGTTCTGTAAGACATGTCTTCCTACCATCACACCCACAGAGAACTCTCCGGATAGTACACAGAAACCCTTCCACGTTTGCTCCAGCATTCCCCCAAATCCCGAAGAGCCTCCTGCCCTGGACAACGGGCTAGACCCCTGTGCATGCAGGGCCCTCCGGTCCCTCTAACTTCAGGCACATCCACAGGGATGCTGGCCTCCTCGGCCCCTCCTTCCAGACTCCGCACAGCCTGGCTCTCCTGGTCTGGACTGGGATGGTAAGAGGCGATGTGTAAAGACAACTCACGGGGCACTTTTCTCTGAGGCCTAGAGCAGAGCTGGCCAAGCTGTCACCCACCCAAGCTGCCTGTTCCTGGGACAGCCTTCTCCCTGTGCAGCTGGGCTTCAGGTTGGGGTGCAGAAGCTTCTTAGGGGGAGGGTAGCACCAGCCACAGGAGAAAAAAGCAAGCCCCATGCTGAGTGTCAAGGTCCTGGGCCAGAGCCCAGCTCTCTGGGTTAGGCTCTGTATGTATATCTAGCGTGCACTGCGCAACATGGGGTTTGGAACTGTCATTTCAGAGCTGGAGGGAACTTGATGGAATTCAATTCGGCACTTTATTATGCTGTATTGAATTGTTCCCTAATTGTTTCAAGACAGTGTATAATTAGGTAATAAATTGTGTGGCCCAGATGGTGAGTGCTCTAAGAGCTCGGTGGAGAAGTCAGAAGGGGTGAGACTTGGATTGGACCTCGACAAGCGATGCCTGTGGCAAAGCGCAATTGGGAGCTGGTTGTGTGCCAGGCGTCGTGCCACGTTTAATCCTCACTTTCAAACCTTTGAACTGGCTACTGGCATTGCCCACATTTACAGATGAGGAAACAGAGTCACCCCTTCCAGGTGTGGGACCCACACCACACAGTGTGACTCCAGGGTGCCAGCACTGACCGGCTGTGCT